ATGGATTTTAATGTTTGATACTAACATGTTTTATATTTGTTATCTTGTTCACTCTTTAATACTTTGCTTGTTAAATGACTAATCTTGATTTATGTTGTATAACACTTGGTACAGCAACTGCTTCACACTTTCATAGCACAAATCATATGGTATAACCGACACCTGTGCTATGAAAAGAACTTGATTTGTTGTTAACATAAGTTATAATCATGAATGTCTGACAACATTTACAAGTATTAGCATTATTCAAATAAGATAACTAATGTAATCATGTTAACAATATATAATCTGATTGGAACCTCATTTGTATGTGGTTTCCAATTGAATAATAAGAGTTTATACTATAGTTGTTTGACATACAATTAGTGGATCCTTTAACCTTGACAGTTGTTGTTGTCCTTGTTTAATCCTTACATTGATCTTTCATCTCAAAGTTCTCACAACTTCTTCTTCTTCTTTTTTATTGTTACTATTATTATTACTACTACTACTATTATTTGTATTATTATTATTACTACTACTATTATTATTACTAGTATTATTACTATTACTATTACTATTAGTAGTATTACTATTTGTATTATTACTATTATTATTGTTGTTGTTATATTATTGTTGTTTATAATTTATACAATTAACCTCCCTATGATTCGACCCTGGTCTTACCGGGTTATTTATTACTTCAACACTCCTGCACTTGGGAGAAGACATCAATCTTTTGGTCATGTCAAGTTTTTGGCGCTGTTGCTAGGCAGGTAAATTCTTGTATAAATTATAATTGTTATTTTATTTTCTCTTTTCACTTTTCTTGTATCTAACTTTATTTCTTTTGTTTTGTTTCTTTTTTTTATTTTTCTTTTCCTTTTATTCTACTTCGACACATGCATAAGAGTGTGGCTATGTACATTAAGTGGTAGACTTTATAGGGTATCCTCATCATTTTCAGAACATATGGCTGAAAAAGATAATTAGGCACTTCATAATGAGAATAATGAGAATAACAGTGTTAGAACACTTAGAGACCACATGAATCCCACAAGAATAATTGCACCTTCATGCATAGTTTTCCCCCTTAATGCATCTTATTTTAATTTTAAGCCAGACATTATTCAACTTTTACCTTCTTTTCATGGCTTAGATTTAGAAAATCCACACTTGCATTTAAAGGAATTTGAGGAGATTTGTAACACCTATATAACTCAAATTGTAGCATGAACAACACCAAATTAAAGCCTTTTTCTTTTTCATTAAAAGATAAAGTTAAAAAATAGCTACAAAATTTGAGACATAGATCCATTCGTGCTTGGGATGAAATGCATCAATAAATTTTAATAAAGTTTTTCCCATCTCATAGAACAAACTCTTTCAAAAGAAAAATTATTACTTTCGCTCAAAAATTAGGAGAAACATTTTACCAATGTTAGGATAGGTATGGAGACTTGCTAAATACTTACCCTCATTGATTAGTACTTAAAAGTGCATTTTTATCATGGTTTTATATCATCATTTTGCACTTGAAGTATCAATAACTCCTTAACTAAAATATATTTTATAATAATGTATCTAATAATATAAGATACCTATAAATTGTGGTAAATGTCTATTTTTAATGCAAGTCTATCACATAAATGAAAGGATTGATTGATGACTTGAAGAACTTAAATTGCAAGGATAAAGAGATGGCCAAACTTAGAAAAGAGATGTCGGTGCAATCCAAACCGGAACACTGTTCGGTAATTGGGTCATATCTAGAGCTACAGATCTCAGATTTAGGTCCAATTTATATGGATAGAAAGGTAAGACATAGGCCTACAACTTTCATATGGAGCCCAAGATCTAAAAAGGCCATTATCAAGTCCAAATTGTAGCAACAACAAAGAAGCCCGAATCTGTCTTCCAGCCCGAGCACTGTTCGGTATTTTGGCCATATCTAGAGTTCTAGAAGTCCAAATGAGCTGAAGTTTTTACACAAGAAAGCTGAGACAATTGCCTACAACTTTCATGTTTACAACTGGCTCCAATTTTGACGTTATCAATGACGTTTTGGGCAGACAAGAGAAGATAAGGATTGTCACCAAGTCAAAAGTTGGTCACCCACTTATCAATTAGTCATCAAATCAATAGTTCCCATTTTTGGCCTATAAAAGGAGGCATTTGCCATGCATTTAGGCATCTTGATTTCCAGATCAAGATCATGCTCTTCCTTTCTCTCTTTGTATTTTTTATGCTTTGTTTTCATTAATATTAAGTTTATGCCTTTCATTTCCTTTCCTTTACTTAGTTAACTTTTATGTTCTTATTTTGTTTATCTATTTTGCTTTCTTTCATTATGTCTAGCTAAGTTAATTATGTCAAGGTGAAAAGGTTACACTAATGGTGTAAGAATAAGTATAATGTAAACTTAATATGGACTTTAATGTTTGATACTAACATGTTTTATATTTGCTATCTTGTTCACTCTTTAATACTTTGCTTGTTAAATGACTAATCTTGATTTATGTTACATAACACTTGGTACAACAAATGTTTGGCACTTTCATAGCCCATAATGTATGGTATAACCGACACCTGAGCTATGAAAGGAACTTGATTTGTTGTTAACATAAGTTATAATCATGAATGCTTGACGAGATTTACAAGTATTAGCATTAATTGAATAAGATGACTAATGTAATCATGTTAACAATATATAATCTGATTGGAACCTCCTTTGTGTGTGGTTTCCAATTCAATAATAAGAGTTTATACTATACTTGTTTGATATACCATTAGTGGAACCTCTAACCTTGACATTTGTTATTATTATTGTTTAATCCTTACATTAATTTTCCATCTCCAAGTTCTCATCATCTTCTTCTTCTTCTCTTTCTTTATTATTATTATTATTATTACTACTACTACTACTACTACTACTACTACTACTACTACTACTACTACTACTACTACTACTACTACTACTACTACTACTACTACTACTACTACTACTACTACTACTACTACTACTACTACTACTACTACTACTACTACTACTACTACTACTACTACTACTACTACTACTACTACTACTACTACTACTA